CAAAAAGGATTCATGCGGTTTTTAAGCGCTAAAGCCTTATGCCGCTTCATTTATACCCAAATCAAGCGCTTCGTCTGATGAGTGTGCGTGTGGGGGGCCTAGTTTTAGTCCTCTTACCCTATTGGGAAGGGAAGGGGAAAGTACATGTAGGTTGGAGAAATATATCATTTTTGCTATATTGATTAAAAGTGGGTAACGCATCAGCAAATGTGGATACCTATGGGGAGCGGTCGCTTCGTTATTTTGGCGATTGTTGACCGCTTTTACAGTTTTCACCTTATACTATAAAAAAATATGGCCGCGTTCTAAACGTAATCCGCCATTGTTTTCTTCGCGTCATGTTTTGCGCCACCTTGCAGAGCACCCGGTATGATGGTTGTTACATTTTCTATTGCTTTTTAAATGTTATAACTGCATAATCGTTATTAACAAGTAACACTTCGAATTAGGTGTGTTGTAACTTAATTAAAATTATATTTGGAGTACATCATACTAATATTTATAAAGAACAAGCTTAAACGGCTGAACGGATTTTGATGTTATGGTGTAGATGTAGAGAATATTCTGGAAAAACAGATGGGCTACTTACTTTTGTTTTTTTTTTAATTCCACGCGGACGGAGTCGCGGACAAAAGCTAGTATCTTATACATTTTACTGTCCCTTAAAATTATCTTGTAAAAATGTTCAAATTTCGAAAGTTTAATGTGTTTAGTGATTTTTAAATATAGGACTGGAATTTCATCTTTTTGTATTTTCCAGCTAGTTGGTCATGGCTAATAAACAATTTAATGTTGCAGCTTTTTCAGAACTTTCAAATAAAATCATCTACTCAAATGAATCTTAAATTTTGTACCATATTTTATAACGTCTTGCAAGGAACGTAAAAAGTGTAGATAATTCTCGAAGTATTCCCTTCGCAAAGGCAACGGTAGCAAAATGTCAGTGATCAGTCGAGCGCGGTGGGTAGACGCAATTAATGGCTGCGGAACATAATTAGCATGGTCAATACACACCTGATTAGCATTGGCATTGACTATAAAAACTTATTCATCCATTATCTACAAGCGAATTCTAAACTGTATTCTTTCTCTTTGACTTTTAAGAGACAGGATCTGTCAGGCGAGGCACATTACTCTCTGTAAAATAAAACAAACATTAAATTCTATACTTGCTTGTGTGATGAGTTTGTGTACTTTATGTCTTGAAGTATTTTCATTACGGCTTTACAATTTATATAAAAAGATACGCTTACCATATCAATATTATAAAGATAAAAGATTTGGATTTTTGTATGTATTTGATTCACATAAAAACTATTGAGCCGATTTGAAAAAATCTTTCCCCATTAAAAAGGTCATTTAGCTGTGAGTAACATAAGCTATATTTCTTACAATTTTTTAATTCAACGCGGACAAAGTCGCGAGAAACTAATCATTAATAATTCAGTAAATCTGGTTTTCAAATTGCAATTACCTAATTCAGTTATCGCCAACGTTCAAGTTAACTTCTGTGTCAAATGTGACGTCTCAATATGAAGTTTTTTTACTTAAACTGTATAACTTAAGTTATAATGCTAGATAATTACATCTGCCAGGTGTTAGAGTAAGAAATCTATCCAAGTTTAGATTTATCAAATCAATAAGAAAAACATCTAAGAGAATATGTTAAATAGAATGTTAATTTATTTGTAATAGTATGAAAAATAATTTTACATTTTTATTTCATATAAGCATTGCTCGCGAATTCGTCCGTGCGGAATCTTAAAAAAAGACACAGTCTAACCTATATTCTTTAATGAATCTGATGGTAAAATAATGTTTGAAATTGGTTCAATGTATAAAAATAAAGACATACAACAAATTCTTCACTTAGTTTTATCAGCATACTATTTTTTTGTACATGACAACTTATCTAAAGGCGCGTGTACCTCTTCATCGAGTTTCAAAATACGTATGACGCCATCTATTGTTTTTCGTCGGAACTATTAGGCTGCAGCGCTGCAACGCCATTCGTTTTATGTTGCATTGTTACATTATTAAATTACTTAACGTAAATAATTGTGTTACATTGTGTTTAAAGTTTTATTTTAACCCATTTTATTGTATCCAGTTGACATGACAGTACCGTGCGTGGCCGCACGCGATATCTTTTCTTTATAGACGATCTAAACGAAAAGAAAAAAACATAGCTAATAGCTATCAACGAAACTGTAAATCAACGACAAATGTTAAATGATTTATATTGAGTTAGAAACCACTCAATGTGGCAACAACTACCGTTTGTTTGTAAGAGTGCTCAAACTGATATCCCTAATGAATATTCGATACTAAACGGTTGTGCAAAAAAACCGTTTCTTTTGTTCACTTTTTTATGATTCATTTACGTTTGTGATCGAATAAATAACGCACGATAGCGTTTTGTTTCGTTTAAAACTCTTAAATCAAATATACTTACGTTTAAATTAGAAAGTTATGATGAATATGTGTGAAAGCATTTTAACTTCGTTAGATATTCGATATATCAGTTAGTTACCATCTGTAATATTCCTTTCGATGACGATGCGAAAATATTGATCAATCCTTGCATTTGTTTTTGAATTTGGAACATTATTTGAATGGCCAGTTTACATTTTGTTGCGACTGGATATGACGTCACAATATGACGCGGATTCATGCACGTTCTTTTTTCAAACGCATTGGAATCTTGCGTTTGTCATTCAAAGAAAACGGTTGTGGGTACTCTACAATTTTCTTTTGTCTATTACTTGTGTACAAAATTAAATTAAAATTAAATCACACGAAATACGTAAAGCTATAGCTATAATATAAGCCAATAAATTGTTAAATGATTGTTAATTTAAAATTTCTATCAGATAATAATATTGAGTGCTGTCAACATTACACATTTTATGGGATTGTAATTTTCAATTTGAGTTTTTGAGGCAACCCTGAACAGGCTCATAGATGGAATGACGGCGACCACAGACATGACAGTTGTCATAGGTGTTCGAATAATGCGTTTTGTCTGCATAAAGTTAATTGGTGAATCTCTGTAAATCTTTTCAATCCGGTTATATTGTGTTGTGCAGTTTTCACTAAAGATTGAACACAGTCCGTGTTTGTGATACGCGAGTGTTATTTTATTATAAAAGTGAATTCTAAAATAAACAGAAACTCGTCACTCCGACATACATTTAAATCATTACCCAATGAAAACAATACACGATATAAATAAATATAGTTATTAAATAATCATATGAATAAATAAGAAAACGGTGAAAAGGAATTAACGAGTATTTGTTATACGTTTAATAAACAACGCCCTATAAACAGGTACTGTAAAACTAAAACAATATAGAAATGTAGGTATCTAGAATTATTGGTCGTCTAATACCAAAATTTACTTTGAAATGCCGTGTAGGCGGAGCTTACAGTGGGCGTGTCTCTGGGGCGTGGTCTACCGGTCATTCAACTCCAGCTGTATGATATGTATGACTATGGTATGTACATTGCCACCGGTTATGGTGCCTTAGTACCTTGATTTGCAATTCAACGATATAGTTAGTTTGCAAGTTATTTTAACATGAACTAAGGGATGTTTGTATGATAAATGTTTAAAATAACATCAACTTGTTTTATAGTTAAGTAATTCCACGTTAAATAACTTGATTTTAACTAGAATGTATCCTTAATTCTTTCCAATTTCTCATTCTTTGTTACACCTTTTTTCCACTAGTGTGGTATACGACTGCCGTATTCGGGTAATAGCAATTTCACTGACGTAACCGTCACTGCTAACAGTAGACGATCGCGGTTAGAGTCGCGCGTCGGATAGCGAAGTGGAAAAGGCCTCTACTACAATTCTTTTTATCAATATTATACAATTGATATTTTTCTTAATATGCATTTAGTACTGAAGCATTATTTATTTTAAAATTCTGTATATGACGGTATGAGAGAACACACTAAGTTACTGTAAAAAAATCTAATCCTTAATCTTTTTCTAATAAGTTCTCACCCTTTTTTTTATAAGAAAAGGATGGGAAGGGAACATGGATTTGACAGTGGAGGAGGCACATAACAAGAGGAACATCTTCTGCATGTGCGTCTCCTCCTCCGTCGATTAAGGCAACGCATCCGCTATTGCGAAAGTCTATGGGCAGCGGTGGCTTCGCCAGTTTACGGATTCATGTGGCCGCTTGCTCGTTTGCCACCTTATGATATAAAGAAAAAAAAACAATGGATTATAAATCCGTCTCGTTTTTTTAATTATGTATATTGTACTCCCTCTTTTGATCTTTCTAGCCCGTGTGTAAAGGGGTCCGCTTTTCTTGTATGCTGTGTTTGATAAATAAATAAAATAATCTCCACCAGTCGTACTAACTCTTAGCGATCAGGAAACATCTGAGATGTCTCACAGAGGACGTGCATGATGTAATTTATCGTAAATAATATTGTAAGCTATCATTATAAACACATTTACGTGTTAATGTCGGTTTGTTCTTAAGACAAAGTCGTTGTTTAAGGAAAGAAGGTTACAAAATAAGTATCATTACATCCGTATTGATAATGCGACTTGTTAAATTTGGAAATCAGAAGTAGGTCAAAAAATTTAGGTAGCTTAAGAGCGCATTAACTAAACTATCGCACAACCGACGTGCGATTATCAATTTTTTCGCAGTCAAGTCAACTGTTTAGTTGCACAACTAAAATCGAGTAGTGTCGGCACCTCCATATAAGTTCATAGGAATCAAAGCGCAACTAAACAGTTGGGCGATAGTTTGGTTTCGGTTGTGCACGCTCTTAATAATGGATAAAGAAGTCTTTAAAAGTTTTTAAAAATATTGATCTGTTACAGATAAAAAATGTTTTAGATACGGGCTAGTAAATAGAGCATTTATGAATAAAACAGTTAGAAAAACACGAGATTGTTTTTTTAATTTGCCGTAAAGTCAAAGTTAATGTACAATTAATTTTAAATTTATTATTTTACGTTTCAGATGCCGGAGAGAAAATTGCAAAACAAATGGATTTATGTGAAAACTCGTTCGATATACGCAGACACAAATATATTTATCTTTAAATGTACTTAGTGCAATATTCAATTTAAATACGATTTAAAATCATTCGTTAAAACGGGTTCAATTTGATTGATGTTTCGGTGCTTTATATTTTAAAAATAAATTATTATAATTTTATTTATAACCAGCAAGATTAATCGAGACAGAAATAATAAATTAATTTATAGGAAACATTATTTTAAAATTTAGTTTTTCCAAAATATGTGAAGTGTAAAAACATTCTAAAAACTTTTTACGACTAAAATTGTAACGCTTAGTGAAGTGATGTCAGTACAGTCGCAATGAAAAGTCAACGGTGACAGTGACTAAATGTACAGTCGCGTTTGAACATTGTGTATTGAAAATGTGGTATTTATGAGTGACTGTTGCGAACAAAGTTACGGTATGTACACCACGTGGTACAGTCGTGGCGAGAGCGGCATGCACCACCAGATGGGGCAGCTGTACCACCACGGACCCCCAATGATTAAGACTGAAGCGGGTGTTAACAGTGATTGCATGATGGCGGTTGATTACGCACCACCTATTAAGGTAAGACTTAAAATAATTACCATAAAAAATAAAAATAAAAAAAAAACAATAAGCCCCACTGACGCTATGTATGACACTCAAAGAAAAAACACACCTTAATCGTTAAATTGTTTAAATATAGGGGTCACAATAAATTTTGATATTTTATGTCTATGAATACAGTGTTATATGCGGTCCACACTTAGCCAGTACAGTTGCTTAGTAACACTCGAGCTTAGTTACTCATAAACGAGGTTTAGGCTAAGCGCCATCTGCTCTCGGCCACCTCAAGCCCGGTGAATCTGTAAATGCCTCTTCAAGGCAAACAGTGGCCATTCAGTCACAAAAAAAACCCAGTATCTTGACTGATAACTAGCATTGTATAAACGTTAAATGCTGCCAGTAAATCTATACATTCCATGACTAGCCATCTTCACTGGCAAAGTGTACCGGACAATAACATACTTTTACAAATATGTTCTTTTTTTATTCTTTATTAGGAGACGGGGGGATTTGTGTCTTTGACATGTCAATCCAAATTTCACACTGACACTAAAATTTCTTATACCGAAGAGAGGTCTCACTCAGATTTTCAATAAACAAGTGTACTAGTGTGTTCTAGTGCACCATAGTGCTACTCTTATTGTTTAAGAAACGAGCTGGCATAATTGTACAATCGCGTCGGTTGTAGGCTTAGCCAGTATTGATAGATTTTCTTTAATATAGACTCGAACATGTTTATCAAACTCATCCTTTCACTCATTGAATGGTCATGAATGAAGCGGTGTCAGTCACCCAACTCTAAAGTCAATAGATAACTAGCTGATTATTCACGTAGCCGGAACGTGATAGTTTTTGCTTAACCGCAGGCTGGCGCATGGACCCAATAGGAAGTCAATCAAAAATAAAAGCGGTCCAAAAAGTGCGCCCAGCGCGATGCCGTACCATAGATAATCGTGATCGTCCGTGCATGGAGGACAAATCGCTCAGAGCAGGTTGTTTGTGGTTTTTTATGTGGATTTTATCTGGTGTTGCCAGAGGCACGGGCTTCTAAACCAAGATTATAATGAATATAAATGAATAATATTTTGAACATTGTATTGATAATAAAAAAATAATCTGAAACTATATTTAAAAATTTGGATGGTTGAATTGTTGCTCGAATCTCATAATTTTGGAACCTAGATATATTTTCAATGGACTGGAATAACAAACAGGCTATTAGTACTGGGTTAAGTTTCCATTAATTTTATCATTACCGTGTCATTTATTAATGTTAGATTGACCTATGTCAACGGAGTAAAACTCAAATTACGTAATTCGGAAACGTATTTCCTGAAGTTATCGAAAAATTAACGAATGGTTAAATGTAGCTGGGAGACCGGCCATAAATCAATTGTAGATATATATAATAAACTATTGTACTTATAAATTGTCCCATTGTGTGCACAATAACGAAGATGTTGAAATATGATTACGTAGCACATCGCTGACACCTCAATCCATCGCTTTATAGATTTCCAATACAGAGGCTTTTAAATAATAACGATTCATGGAAAAGAAAAGAACGAAATAATGTAAAAAAACATCTGTTACTAATTGTACACAAAGATCCGTTGGTACTGTCGAAAAACCCATTATTTACTTACTAGGTTTTGCCCGCGAATCCGTCCGCGTCGAATTAAAGAAAAAAACTAAGTAGTCTATGTATTCTTCCAGAACATATTCTACATCTATGCCAAATTTCATCAAGGTCCACTGAGCCATTTAGGCTACAAACTCTAACAAACATCCATCCATCTAAACTTTCCCAGTTATAATATTAGTAAGATTGCTATATCAGTTGCTTTATAACAATTGATGCTGATATTTTCTTGTACATGTTTCAGTGGAAACCCAAGTGTATTAAGACAATAAAATAACATGCATCACATGGATGGTGTCATCCAAGATGCAATCATTTGTTTAGCGTCATAGGAATTGACTATGCCTCTCAATCCGGTTGTATTCGTGACGACAACTTCGTCACGGTAACCTCTCGTGGCGTTCTCACTTCTACATTGTTTTTGCATATAGTTGATCGTACGTGAAGATTGTATATTTCTATTTGCAGTATAAAGATATACTACACACTAACATTCTTAATAGTTTAATTTGTAACCGACTTCAAAAAGGAGGTTCACAATTCGATAGCTTTTTTAATGTATTTGTATCGATTACTCTGCGATTTATAATTCGATTTACTTGATTATTTTAGTTGTCATTTGGTCCGACTTTTTAAATTAAATACTGTCGAGTAGTGTTTGTATTTTCTTTAAAAAGTATACCAAAATAAAGAAAAGTCCCGTCAGAATAGGTAAGTCCGTATTTTGACTTGAGAACAGAAAAACAATCTCTAACATTTGTTTACAGTTAAAGCAACTTAAATGCATTATATTTACGAAATATTAATTTTTTTGATAATAGACATGGACACTTTAATTTAATTATTTGTAAGCCAAGACCGAATGAATGAATATTGAAAGCTATTCCAGTAGCGAAATAATTCAATACATTTAACTTAAACAATATAAGGGCTATATAAAAACGTAAATAAACATTTTCTCTACAGAACATTCTTCTTTTTTATTATTTTTTTCTTCAAAGCTCGTTAGACACAATTAGTTTAGATGTCACAATTCGGCAACTCCGCACAATTTCGTCTCACATCGGGAGAGAGCGAAATAATCCAAAGAATCATTCAGGACGTTTGTCTTGACGTCTTCATTACGGTCCCATTGTAAAGCGTGGTAACTGTAAAAAAAAATCTTGCGGTTTAATATAATTTTATAATATTAACTGTAAAATTTTTAAGTAATTTAATTAAATTTATATGTATATAAGTTCGTATTCCACGAGGATACTGTGCTATTTGCATATCTTACCTCATACTGATATTAACAGTAATTTTAAGACGTTTCAATATTTTTTGATTGTAGTCATACATTTCTTAAGATATGTTACAATTAAAGTAAATACTAAAAGTTAAATAATTACTACGTTTATTCTAAAAAAAAGTCTAATTTATCATTGTAACATTTTTCGATGTACTCAGTTTCGTAGCAACCCAGTAACCACCCTAGTGTGCAGGCGTTTGATTAATGACGTCACAGTCCCGGGATGTCGTTACCCGCCACGGCACCGATCATTTTCCCCTGATCATGATCCTCCGGGATAAATCGTCTGGAGGAATTGCTTTTGTTATCTTCTATTATTTATATATTAATTAGATATAATTTAATCTGTATGTCACATGATACGACTCGAATTAGAATTTGAATGTTATTGAAATTTTCACTAATATATCCCGCGTTTTGTAGCCTAATGTCCGGTTCATACATTGCCTTTTGAATTATTGCCCCAGCCATTGTTTTTTTTATTATAAGGTGGCTAACGAGCTAGCGGCTTGATTTCACCGAAATGGCGAAGCGACTACTGCCCATAGACATTCGAAATTGCAGATGCATTGCCTACCCTTAATTGACGAAAGGGTACACGCACATAAACAGGATGTTTCTTCTATCTATGCGACTCCTACGCCGTCAAATACACTTTTACTTCCCATCCTATCTTTTTAAGAAAAGAGTGAGAAGGAAAAGGGACTTAGGCCTCCGGCACCACACTCATCAGACGTTTGTACTCAAACAACATCATTACCACTAATTGTATGGACTCTCTGATGCCAATCGAATGTCAGTTTCGTTGGCTAACTGTACTGGCCAGATGTATACCGCGCATTGACTTAGAATCAAGAATGGCACAAGTCGTTCATCAAGGTAAAGTTTACAAATCATCTTACATTTGCTATTTTCTCTATTATTGCGGTTGATATGCAACTTTTCCAGTCTGTTTAGGCTATTTTTAAGCAGCATTTTAAACTCGAGCTAAAATGCCGCTGTGTCAAAATGATTAACACCGATTAATTTAGCAACTCAAATACTAACGTTACTTATTAACGTCAACCGCAGGCTGTCCCCCTCCCCGCTGTCCCCCTCGTCTTGAGACCCCTCCACACAGTCGCCGACAATTAATTTAAAAGACAAACCCTGTTCTTTCAACCGCACGCCTCCATCATTAATATGTGAAACTTCTTACGGAGTTGCTATGTCCCTGTCATTCCTCAAGTGATAAATTTACTTGCTTCCTTTGAAAATCTATAACTATATACATCTAATAAAATTAGAGTGTCTGTTTGTAATATCAAAAGAAAAAAATCCAAATTTCGGGAAGATAATTTGCGTTGCAGATAGCGAAAATCGCATTTAATTTTTTTTCGTCTGTCTGTTCGCAATCCGCGTTTGTTCCGGGTAATATCCGAAACGGTCTTTTCGACCGGACTTTCACTGAAGGGTGTCTAAATAATTTACATTAGTTTGACAATTCATTTCAAATTTAGTAGGGATGGGTTGTGTAAAATCAGTCATGAATCTTATCGATTTTCGATTTTTATTCTTGTAGAAGTTGGAATCGATAGATTTATAGTTTTAACTTAAGAAATAAAAAAAAACACACACACACTGTTTTCTCAAATTAATAATGACCACAACAATTAATGGGAGTAAATAAATGTATATTACTACTACAGCCGTGCGTAATCGAATTGGATTTCGCTATTATTTCTGTAATCGCTAAATTCTCTACACTATAATCAATACTAGAATTGTCCTCTTAATTAGTGAATAAGAAAATAATAATTTCAGTTGAGTTTGATAATTATTTAAACCGAATATCGATAGTTCAAATTTGTGTATGTTTGTTTCGTCACTACGATAGCTGTCTATTAAGTATGGCATTTGCCTTCATACAAATTGAATTCGATACTTCATATGCGTCATTTATCAAACTAATCTAATCTTATTTAGACAAACTATAGCTGACATAGACGCCCGTCTATGCCCATATTATAGTCATTTTTTTATTTTAATATTGAGTGGACGAAGTCGCGAGCAACAGTTTTATATATAGAAGCTATAAATGTATTT